TTACCTCGAGGTCCAAACATATTGTCCAAAAAAGCATTGATTTCATCATCAAAGGCCTTTAGATGCTCCTGAAAAGGGAAAGAAAAGAATGATTTTAGTTGTAATGTTTTTTTTTTTTTTTTTTTTTTTTTTTTTTAAACTCTCAAAACAAGCCACTACCAATGACATGTAGTTGACAGATTCTCCAAGGGTTCCAACTTCAAGGACTTTTGACTGCACAGGCTTAAGGAAAGTGAACCAATTAATGCAGCCTCACCTTTCACAAGCCTGTACAAAGTTGGAAGGAAATGATTCCTCTTTCATTTCTTCATGCAAGAGGAGTCCTAGAACACAGGCTTGGCGCATTTCAACATCAAAGCGTTATTGACCTTAATTCCGTTTACCTCTAAAATGCTTACAGGCTAAGCTGTGCCATAAGCAACTTCCACTGTTGCAATTAACAGGAGCAGTGTGAGCAACAGGGAAAGCCCATTCCTGCAGAATACAAACGTGAATTTTAAATGAAAATTCAGCTCAAATAAATTTCATTAAGCTGAATCTAAAGCTTCGAAGAGGACTTGTTTTTCAAGTAAGGAAACTAAGCACTACGGCTTTTATTTTCTATTTATGTTTTGTTTTCAAACTTTTTTTACTCTTACAGTAAATAGTATCACTTAGGGTGCACCAAATTAATTATTGTCCCTTTAACTGGTTTCAGGCTGGGGCTGGAATATTGCTGCTAAGAACCTTAAGGTCAGTAAGTAGGGGCTGCCGACTTGATTTCAGTCCACTCATGCTGGTCTGCTATGATACTGCTTAAAATATCTGCTAAGGTGTCCCCTCCCTGCTACAGGGGTCTAGAGCCACCTCCTCAAGCAAAGGGAGGAAAAGACAGAGCACGACCCAGTGTTTCCAGAAAAGGGACCTTCTGAAGAGGACTGAGGGCCAGCAGACAGACTGTGTGTGTGTGTGGAGCAGCACAGCCTCGGGAAGTTGCTACAGAACATGCTTTAGATTCAACAGCCACCCCACAACTATCTCACCCTCAAAGTATAAATGCCAAAGAGGAGAATTAATTCACTGGCATCTGAAAAGAGGAGCTGCCCATTTGGTGACTGGCACCTATCACCTGAACTTATTTTTTATTTGTGACTTTGATCCTGAGAGAAATTTCAAGGAAACTTAGGTCTTTGGGGACTTTAGGAAGCTTGGGAAGGAGGATGGAGATTAGAGAGTAACATTTACTAGCACCTACTACTGCCGGCCACTGCACTAGGAACTTTATTTTCACTATTTCATAATATCTCTATAAAACGTGTTTGAGCTAAGCCAAGCTTGAAAGTTTTTAAACAGTATTTGTATCTTTGGTTTCCACATAGGGTGTCTCAGGAGATTTCCAGACTTGAGAAAGGTCAGTTACCTGAGATCTTGGTGTGACAGAATATGATCTGTGTTGCCATTAGAATAGGGCGGATCTATCCAGAGGCCTCGTGGTTTTGAGAAAAGAATGTCACCCTCACAAATGCACTCACCCTCATAACAAATGCCAATGAAATCTTTTTTCCATTGCCGCATCCACGAACAAGTGTTTAAACTTTTTTGGTTTGTTTGCTAAGGTTCAAAATCCATTTTACAACATTTGTAGAGTGAAGAAAACTCTAGTTAAAGGTCACAAAGCTCATATTATTTCTATATTGCAGAAATTTAGTCATAGTGGAAGAGCAGCAGAAACAAAAGTAAAAGAAGGGAAGATATGAAGAAAGCAGAGAACAAGAGATGAATGAAAAGGGGCATTTTGTTTCTTCACTCATTAATTTATTGACTCACTAACCAATTATTTGAGCATTACTATATACTAGCACTATGTTAGATGCTAAAACACGAAGTCAAATGAGACGTGATCCTTATCTTCACATAGTTTTCAGTCTAGAAAGAATAATACATAAATAAAAAATTACAGTGCAGTCTTTAATATGAGAGGTTTACAGAGATCTGCTACAAGAGGATAGAGACACACTTTAATTTAGATCTCTTAAGAAGATGAGGCGGTGGCTGAATTTTGAAAGACTAGTTTAGGACATTGTCTAAATGGAGAAGGAAAGAAAAGGCACACTAGGAAGAAAGATTAGTGTACAGAAATACATTGAGGCATGACTCACTTGGAAAGTGTTTATGACCAGGGTCTCTAGTGACCTATATGACAGAACTGCAGCCAATGCTGGGAAAATCAGAAACTTGATAAAAATTACCTCTTTATTTCTGAGTTATTTAATGTAGTTAGTAAGGAAGTTGTCTAAAAACACCATGAGGAGATGAGAAGAACAAACCAAGATTTACACTGGATTAGTAAAACGTAAGTACAGAGGGTTTTGTAGTGTTAGTCGACCGAGGATGAGCACTTAGCAAGGGATGACAGAGCAGCGTTTGGCCCAGGAAGTCACAGCTGTACACTGGGTTCTCTGTGCGTGAATGTGAGGCATGCTGGACAATGTCTCCAGGTTAACACCGCAGCCTAGGAGCTAAGAAAAACCAAGGAACTCCATGTGGCACTTCATCCATTCAAACAACATTTCTGAATAGCATTTGTGGGTGTGGTTGACTCAAAAGCTTATAGACAGTTTGGGAAAGTGAGACATATAGAGAAAGGTGAATAACAAATGATTAAGAAGAGGGATATCCGCAGAACTGCCACAATGATAGAAAATAAAGGACTTAGGATGGGTTTTTAAAGACGGTTAGAATTTGGAGAGATTAGAAGAGAGGGAACAGTGTACCCTCTCAGACCTGAGCAAGAATGGTGCTGTCCTGAGCTCCATACTGTAGAAGACACTCCCCTAACCCCGGTCATCCCTTTGAGCCAAGGGAACATGCCTACCCATGGCCATAGTTTCCCCTCTCCAGACTATGCTCCAAGTTCCCCAGGCCACCTGCCAAATCACCCTGAGCCCACTTCCAGAACAACTCCTTGCCCCTACAAGAAATTCCACACTCCATGATTTGGAATTCAATGTGTAGCTATGTACAGCAAACAGCTGAAGAATGGAAAGACTGAACGCAAGCAGGGCCTTATTTGTGTATTCCTAATTACTTACCACAGTTGGTAGGAATATAAAATGGTACAATCACTTTGCAAAACAGTTTGGCAGTTTGGTAAAAACATAAACATACACCTACCGTAAGATCCAGCATGCCACTTCTAGGAATTTACCCAAGAGAAAAGAAAGCACATTTCCACGCAAAGACGTGAACACAAATATTCACAGCAATTTTATTTGTGATCGCCAAAAAAATAGAAACCCCCAAATGTCCAACAGGTGACACAGCCGTATAATAAATACTACTCAGCAATATAAAGGAGTGAACTATTGATATACACACAACATGGATGAATCTTAAAATTATGCTGCATGAAAGAAGCCACACAAAAATTACACACTGTATGTTTCTATTTATATGGAAATTCTAGAAAATATAACTTACAGTGACAGAAAACAGATCAGTGGTTGCTTGGGGACTACAAGGGAAGAGACCAGAATATCCTTCAAAAATGAAGGTTAAGTCAGGATATATTCATGTATGCACAAATGAGAGAATGTATAGCCAACAGAACTGCACTGCCTACTATGCTAAAAATGTTCTTCATGCCAAAGGGAAGTGATTCCATATGGAAAGTAGAATTTACAGAAAAGAATCAAGAGCACCAGAAATGGTTCTAAGTAATTGAAGAGCCATAACCCACAGTACCCCAGGGAAAGCCACCACCAACCTCCTCCATGTCTACCGTGACTGCCAGCACCGCCATCACCCACCTCTGACACCATGCTCATCCCTTCCACCAGGAAGCATCATTGCCTGACACCCAGTGATGTCCTGGACCTGTTCCTTCTACTGCCAGTAAAAAGACCACTGGGAGGCAGTGGGGATCCACCTGAGGTAGACCCACTGGACTGCCTTCCTACAGAAATCTGAGATAGTCGTCTTAGCTGTGGAATATGCAACTTCCAGGGCTGGTGGACTGGCTCACCAGACACTTCTGCCTCAGCTACCATTTTCTGTGGGTACTTGGCAAACAGAAGAGCCACGAAGGGCACACTTGGTTTTTTTGTCACCATGATAGTGACTGGGACTCCCACCCATCCCTGGCTCCATCAGCTGGAGGTCAACATAAACCAGGGCATCTCAAATCGAAGGCCATTTCCTGGTCTGTTCTTGAAGGTGTGAAGCTTGTAAGGACTACTTCATCCTGAACACCTTGACAGCCTAGATTTTCTTAGGCAGAGGCTGCCTTGCAATCAGAATCACTACCACCACGATTAAGGGCCACTCTATGAAAGCCATGGCCGGAAGCAAGGCAGAAATGAACCCACCCCAAAACTCTGCCTGTTCGTTCTCCCATCTCTAAAGGATAGAACTCTAGATTCTATTTTTCCTTTCCCATTCTTTCTTCCTTTCCTTCCTCTTTCACTCATTCCTTCTTCTCCACCTTCCTCCTTTTATTGGTTTTAGGCATTGTGTGGTTTTTCTTTTTTTTTTTTTAGTATTTGTCTACCACGAGCATTACGTTATATAAAAATCCAGTGATTCAAGATCTTGCTGTTTGTCCTATTTTGTCAATATAGTTTTATAGAACACTTTAAAGACACTTATTCAATCAGAATTGCTATTTTCCACCACCAACGCACTGCTTTTTAAAATTGGCAAAAGCCACTAACATTATGAAACAGACTGGAAGGAAAGATAGCATCTAAATCCTTACTTTCTTCTTTTTGTGTATTTCAGAATAAACTAAATCTGAATGGTTCAATGACAGCAAGTCAGGAAATGGGATCTGACCAGCTTATGAATATATCATATTTCAGACTAACCTGACACAACTCTGACAACTTCCCAGAAACGTTAAGGTCAAGGCTGAGTTGGACAGAACTGAGAAACAAGGAGATGGTCTCCTAGAGGCAAGGGAGACAGACTAGAGTACCATCACACAGTGAGCCCAATGTCGTTCTCAGGGCTCAGGATGGCCAACAAATGTTGAACCTCTTTTGGCAACTCCTGCAGGGTTGTTCCCGGCTGGTGTCCTGTGTATTTGAAGAAGCTAAATATGTGTACATTTGTGAATGAAACTAGAAGGTTTAGAGGATGAATAAAAGTGGGCATATAAAAATACTTAAAATTATTTGGCTGTCACGCAGCTAACGTCAATGTGTGTTTATGCACATTTTACACTGACACCCTAAAACTGCCTTTCAGGAGCCTACCCACTCAACAGTACCTCCTGCTACTGTTCTCTGGAGGGAGCAAGAAGCTAAGGGTGAGAGTAGGCAATGGGTGGGCAACTTTTCTTTATGTATGGAACTCTAAATTGTTATTTTATGTCTTAGGAATAATTTTCTCAAGATTGAAACTGTCTAAGGTAGGTACCGAAGACTCTGATGAACATTTATGACATCTTAGGATAGATACAAATGAGCTAACCATGGTGAGTAATACCATGGGGAGTAATACTGGCTACTGTTTATTAAACACGCGCCAGGCACTTGATACATGCTCTCTATGGTTTTCTCCGCAGCCTTGCAAGTTGAGAGTCTTTCCCAATTTACAGATGTGGAAATTGAGACTGTACACTCAAGTGGTGCTGTCATGTGAGACTTGAACTACAATGAATCAGTGTTTTTACACCTTCAGCTTGAAGGGTTTTGGAGCCTGGATAGCAGAGGAAGGTCTCTACAGAGCTCATGCTTTCTTGTGCTGTGGTATCTCAGGATACCAAGCTGACAGAGACAATGGGGGTGATTTTATTTGCATCCTGGGTAACCTTGAGGCTGTAGGACAGTCCTATTCAATTAAGGGGATAAAAGGACTTTTTGAAGAACAGAAACTTATTGCAGTTTTGTTTGTTATGCTCCACTTCCCCCACATGGCTGTCTCTCTCATTTCATCGGAGTCTGGTCAGATAGCAACTCCTTACGTGGCTCCCTGATCCTCTCTCATGGGACTAATCACAGAGAAGGAAAGAATCAGCTTGTGGCATCCTGGCCTGTGGTGTAGCATCATTTGCCATCCCCTGACCTGCTCTATTTTTATTTCATAGTACTTATCGTTACCCAAACTTTCACTGGCTAGTTAATTTGTTTATTGTTTGGGTCCTCCACTAAAATATAAGCTCCAATTATCCCCAATTCCAAGAACAATGCCTGGCACACAGTGGGCACTTAATATTTATTGAATGAATTAATCAAACTCTCATTCTTCCGAACCTTCACAATACTCATTTGATACCTATTTTCATATTACTTTGCATTCCTACTTATATTTTCATATATGTGATCTGGTTTCCAATGCATTTTGAAAGATACTTAATACTCTTAACTCTTGGTTTATCACCAGGGTCCAATGGACCCAAATTCTTTTTTAGTTTCATTTGAAGTTTCTTTCTTCCAAAGAACAAAGAAAAAATTTGCTTATATATTTTTAAAGTAGAATCAAACTCATTTTATCTTGCAAGTGACATGAGTCCAATGGACCTTTTTCAAAATTTATGATATATTATGGGATCTTAATGGTATTTTTTCTATATCTTAAAACATTTTGCTATTTAATTAACCTAGAAATTATCTCACTACTTACCAATAATTCCAATCTGCTAAAAAATATGAAAATGTGAGGATGGAATTGCCTAGAAGGACAACACAATAGTCAAATAAGCCATTACTACTGCATCATCCTTTTTTTCTTTTTACCAAAGTATTACATCATGCTTCAAGAAGATACAAAAAAAATCTAGAAACAACCATCCTTACAGACTTTTTAAAGCTTTCATTGAACATAGTTGAGAGTTTTGAATTTTACATGTTCAAAAACTTTAAGATCACCTGAGGGTCTTACTAAAGCACAGGTTCTCATTTAATTGGTCTAGGATGAGGCCTCAGTTCATTTCTAACAAGTTCCAATGCTGCTGGTCCACAGACCACATTTTGAGTAGCAATAATTAGACCACATATGATCTCTTGAAACTTGTTTAGATTATAATCTAAGTATTGATTTTTTGATGGGTTTTTATTATAAAATACCAAGTTCTTGCTTATTTTCTATGAATCTACCAAGTATTTCATGACATATTTTATGCTATGAAATTCAAAGTTGTTATGGACTTATTATATAACCATTCATTTCAAGGCATTTAGTAAATAGCTAGCTGTGCAAACCTACTTAATAGTATCCACATTGTTCCAAACAGAAATGAAATCACCGGGTTGGTTGTATTTTTCCTTATATTTGCTGTGCCTGAGTGTAATATTCTGGAGGTGGTCTGCTCAGGGAAGAGTACAGAAAAACTCACGCCTCTCTTAAAGTTATCACAAGATTGCATTCAGACACTGCCTCAGTTAGTACTTGCCAAAAAATATTACCAGGGTTTTTGTGGTGTTAACTACTGTCAAAATCAAGACTTATCCTAGCACTCTGGGAGGCC